CTCCCTGTCGTGTGTTTTACTGTGACCAAATTAGGCAGCAGATAAACATAATGCATCTGCCTCAAGGGAGGCTGTCACCACAGAAACAGAGAGAAATGTACCTTCGAGTTTCAAAAGCTGAGGTCCAGATGAATGATGCAAAAATCTGGAAAAGTATGGGCTTCTACAGAGGCAGCCCCTTCCTCACCACTCCCCCATCTTCTCAGTTACCTGCTGGGAATAGACAACATTGCTTGATTTGTAGGAGGGTGGAGATGTAGGAGATGGAGGGAACTGACAGTGGTGGACGCCTGGGAAGGGTCCTACAACCTGCTTCCCCAAACCCCAGGTCAAATTTGGAGGAATAGAAGAGTCAGGAGGACTTGTACCTTCCTTCCAGGTGATGTGGCTCATGGAGTTCCTGCTCTCAGCTTGGACTGGCTGCAGAACAGAATGGGCTATATGCCCTGCCTGGGTGGAGAGGACCTGAGACCACCTGGTAGAGTTTCCTGGAGCGCCGCAGCAGCCAAAGCTTCTAGTGTGCTTATGAGGATTGTGGATAGAGAAGCCCTGGAATCAGAGGTAAATGCCAGCGGCATCCATATGAATCTACTGCCAAGGGCTGCACAGGGTGATGGACATCTTAGCCGATGCCTGCATGGGCTGATGTCATCAGGGCACCTTAGATACTACTGGGGATGGGGAGGATGGGGGGACCCTGATTTGGTGGAGGAGATCCTGAATTGGCCAAGATTAAGTCCATGGAAAAGGTGCTTAAAATAGAAATTATGTTAGGTTATGGAAACATTTGAAAATGTAATACTTTTTGCATACATGGAGTGGGGGCCCGAGAGTTGCATTGTTTTATTTTGATCATATCACCCAATCTCTTCAGGTCATAACTTCCCTATCTGTGAACTGGGGTTGGGAAGAAGAGATTGAACCTGGAGGTACCAAAAGCTTTTCCAGTGCAGATTGACTATGGTGCTAAAGGGGTAGCATCTCTCAGATCTCTCACTTCCCAACTGTGAATGCTTTCCACCCCGTCACTGTCTTTGCAGGGCCTTCCCCTAGTCTCCAGGGGGGCTGCTGAGAGTAACCAGGATACACGAAGGTGACAGGGAACAAGGGAAACATTCCTAGCCCTTGCAGATATCAGATCCTTTGGTGCCATTAATTCAGACCATATCTAATTATTTTAAAAATGATTTGTTGAAGAAACATGCCAACAACCCTCAGTAGGTATGAAAATGAAAAGGAAAAATACATCTGCAATCATGGTATCCTGACAAATGAAAGCATGTTACCTTCCTGCCTTCCCTTCCCAGCCATGCCTACGTCAGCACCTGTTTTGCACCAGAGCCTGGAGACTGCATCGTATTGAAGGGCTTCTGGGAGGCCAGAAAGATAGAAAAGGAAAATGTGGATATTTTAGCTCTGCTGATTGGCTGCCCTGGCAACAGACCCAATGCCTCCAGAAATATCCCTCCAGCTATGACCCCTCTCCTGAACTCCAGACGCATCTGTCCATGTGCCTACTCAACATCTCCACTGGGACGACGAACAAACATTATATTTAACATGTTCAAAACGGAACTGTTAATTCCCACCATCAAATCTATGCCTCCACCTGTCTTCCTCATCTCATCCATTGCTCAGCGCTGTCACGAAACTATCCCCAAACCCTCCCTCTCCATTGCCTTTCACATTCAGTCCCCAAGTAAATCTCACCACTTCCATTTTTAGGTTCACCTCCTGTTGATCAATTTCTCTCCATCTCTGCTGACACCGCCTAGCTCAGGTCACCCTATTGCCTCCTGGTTTACTGCGGTAACCTCAGATCTGAATTTTCTGATTACTTGCCTTCCTCTAATCTACCCACCCCACCGGAGTCATGGTGATTTCCAAGAATGTAAATCAGATCTTGTCATCTGCCCTGTGGATGACTCTTCCCCGTGGCCAGCATCCCTGTGTACTCTGGCTCCCACTCACCTCTGCGGATTGTCCCATGGCCGGTCACTCACTTCGTCTTCCTTGAACATTCCAAGTTCCTTTGTACCTTAGGGCTTGGCATAAGAGGGTCCCTCTAACAAGAAGGGATTTCCCAGGTTCTTGCAACTTTCAGATATCAACTCAAATGTTCCCTTTTCAGAAAGGCTTTCTCTACCATTCTCTCTAGCCAGCAGCCGCTTAATTCCTGACTCCTGTGGAGATCTCTGTCATTGCAATCCCCACTATTTTGTGTACCCTTTTATTTTCTTCAGAGCACTCATCACATTTTTAATTCTTTCTTCCTTTCCCCCTTCCTCCCTCTCCCCTCTCTGCCTTTTTTCTCTGTCCTCGTTAGACTGTAAACTCCGCAAAGGCAGGGACTACCCTTGCCAGTGTTCACCAATGTTTGCTCAGTGTCTACACATTGCTTGAAGTACTGAACTCCCCCCAGTCACATTTGCAGAATAAGTGAAGGCATAGCCTTCTTTGCAGTGAGCAAATAATCGTCTGGAAACTCTGGGCTGGGCTTGCCTATGATACAGGCTATTTCCTTAAAGGGAGAGGGAATCTTTATGTCCAAACTGGGACTCTTCCAGCTGCCTCATTTTCCCTCTGATTTCAAGATATGAGACACCTGGGACATCATCTGTGTCCTTCTTTAGGTATGATTTGGGGAATGAGGAACTATCTAAAGTTTTTGACTGAATTATTTTAAACAGACCATTCTGATGTAATGGATGGATTGGAGGCTCCAGAGCAACACCTGTGAGGAGGGTGTTGGTGTGATCCAGGTAAGCCCCAAGGAGGGTCTGGGCAACTGTGCAGATGAGTAATAGGACTTGGACACTTAGGGCACTGGGGCACAGAATGTAAGGAGGCGAGGCCCTGCATGTGCCGACGCTGCCTTTGCTCAGTCCTGAGAATGAGTGTCTTAGATTTTGCTTCCTAGGCGCTTTGCCTCACCCCAGTCCTGGCCCTGCTCCAAGGGGGAGATGAAGCATGATTCTGGCTTCGTGATGCTCTCATCATGGAAGGCGGCCAAGATACCCTCAAGGCTCCCAACATTGGAGCCTGGGCATGGGGACGTGGAAGGTGAAGCTGCTCTGTTGTGAGTAGAAAATGTTGAAGAGGAGATTCATGTGTGAGGGACAATATCTCTGTTTCTGTGAGTACAAAGGTTCAAGGCCATGATGAAACTAATACAGTAGGATGCCCACCACCCCTGGACATACTTACGCTTTACAGAGAGCCTTTCTCCAAAACCTTCCCTGGGTTGCACCATCTCCCCAGGTCTTCACCAGGGCCATTTTGGTGCCCAAGATGAGCCCTCGATCAACTCCAGGGCCACTTTTCGAACCTGAGGAAGTGCACATGCTCCTCCCTTCTCTTCCCTATCCAGAGGCATAGAGTGGGCTTTACTGTGGAGCAGTGGGCCTGAGGGAATCAGGAGCAGTAGAATGAGGATAGGTCAAGAACTCCAGGCAGAGCGGCTCTTTGGAAAGCACCAGCAAGAGCTGGGTTTGAATCTGAGCTTCTTGGTTCTACGGCTTATTATCTGAGTAACACTGGGCAGGATCCCTCACAGGCCTCACCTGCACGTGGGGCGTGGTGCCCACCTTGTAGGCTTGGTGTGAGGATGAAATGGGGTACCACTGCACATGAAGTACCAGACCCACGGTGGGGCCTAGTAACTATGTTTCCCTTTCTCATATGGAACCACAGAATGTCACGACAGGAAGGGAATCTAGGGGTCTCTAGGTAATGCCCTTTCAGTTATTTTTTCCCTTTGAGTCTTAAGTACACAGGATTGTACCTATCATAGTTCTTGCTTCATGATACTCTCATCATTGATCCATGCATGACCCTCTTTATTAATCTGTTTACCTACCCTTTCATCTGTCTGTCCATTCATCCTCTGTCCATCCATCAATCCATGTGTCCATGTGTCCATCTCTCCATCCGCCATCCCTCCATCCTACCTCCCTCTCTCCCTTCTAATCATCTATCCATCTACCTACCTACATACTTATATCAATATCATATTGTTATTCTATTTGTTGTTTGTTTATAGTAATATAAACATTCATGAAGCCACCATCCAGCATGGAAGTTAGAAAATTGACAATAACTCCCATCTATGTGTATTTACCCAAATTTCTCATCCTTCTGCCTCCCCTACATCCAAGGTCACTGATATTTTGAATCTTGTGTTCATTGTTCCTTTTTAAAAATATGGGCTTTATCCTATTTCCACATATTCCTACATACTATTTGATGTTGGCTGTTTTTTTAGCTTTATCAAAAGGATATCATGCTGTATGAAATTTTGGGGGGTTCACTTCCCCCCCATATCACTGTGTGTAGCTGTAGTTCATTCATTATGATGGCCGTGTAACATTCTGTTCTGTGACTGTACTAAATGTTACTGCCCATTATCCTGTAGCCATGCATCTGGATCATTTTCAGGTCTTGCTAATTTTAAACAATGCCATCACATATATATTTGTACATGTCTCCTGGTGCACAAGTGCAGGAGTTTCTTCCAGGTGTAACCCAAGAGTGGAAATGCCAGGTTATAGGATGTGTGAGTATTTAACGCAACAATTTTTTTTCCCCGAAATAGCTGTGTCCATTTAGGTGCCCACCAGCAATGAAAGAAAGACAAAATTGCTTCTTTATTTTTGCGATCTGAACAGGGACAACATGGCATCTCGGTGTAACTTTTGCTGTGGCTTTTCCTGATTCCTAATGACATTGGATGTCTCTTCATGTGTTTATTGGACATAAGTGTTTCATTAAAGCCCCTTTTAATGATAGGGCTGTAAGGGTTTCATGGTAGGGCTTGGGTGCCCACAATGGACTTTCCTTGAGGAGCCAAGAAGAAGCTATCAGAATTGTAGCACGTGTTTCCCTCTGGGTTGGGGGCCTGTCCTACCTCTGCTGGGTTTCTTGGTCAGGTTCATGGACTTTGAGGTCAGACTGTCCACAGAAACTTCATTCCCGGCGAGGGCATGAGAGCCCACCTCCCACTACTGACCTTCCTGGTCCAGGCTCTCTCCTCCTCGGGGGGCTGCAGGAGACAGGGAGGGAAAGCCAGTTCTGGACAGGTCTCAGAAGGCTGAGGATGCAGGAGAAGCTGGAGTAGCAGCTGCAGGCATCATGGTAGGTTCCCCTCCTAGGCCAGTCCCCCTGAATAAGACAGGAGGGGACTGAGGGTCCTGTGTCACTGAGGGGGGCTGCCCTTGCAAGGCCAGTGACCTGCAGAGGAAGCAGGGGACTGAGGCAAAGCCCTTGTTCTTCTCACACCTCTCCTTGGAGACTACCTCAAGGGTGTTGTCTTCACACCATTCCCTCTTTCTCTTCCTTCCTAGATGCCCCTCCCCCTACCCTGACCAGCAGAACCTGCATCTTTGAGCATCCCCAGACTGGAGGTATGAGAGACAGAGAGCAAGGTTGAAAGAAGTGGGGTGCAGCTATAATGGACCCTCTGGATTCAATACCCACTCAAGGTAGAGGAGAAATGGGAGGGCCCCCTGGCTTTCTTCTCACAGTGGCCCTGTCAGCTGGAGACCCACCCCTGGGAACCAGCCTCCATCCAGGGTCCCCCCCTTACCTGGAAGGGAGGCACATCCTGAAGACACAGATGGCAGAAAGTGCAGCCAGAAGAAAAAACTTCCAGGCAAGGAGGAGGAGGGAGCTGGACACTGTGGCACCTGGTGACAGAAAGACATCAGAATGAGCCTAATTCCTGCTTCCATCACTCCACCCCCAAGCAGGCTCAGTCCCACCCCAACTCAGGTACCAAGACTACACCTTGGCCTTGGGGAGAATCACCACGCCTCTGTGAGCCTCAGTTTTCTTATCTTTAAAATGGGGATTATAATACTTCAGAATGTTTTTCTATCAAATGAGAGCACCCAAGCAAAGTGCTTAATAGGTGCTCAGCAATTGTTAAATCTGAATGGCTTTTGGGTCAACGGCCATACTACTCTGAACGTGCCTGATCTCGTCTGAACGGCTTTTGGGAGGATGTGTGGGAATTGGAGAAAGATGTTTCATATTAACTTAGTTACAGACTTAGTCCAGAAGTCTCTGGTAAAATGGGTGGGTGGTCAGGGTCCAGCCGTGTGATGAAAGCAGCGTTTACTGCCATTTGGTACTGAAGGCATAACGCTCTGAAGAAGTTGCTATAATTGCTGTCCCATTTTATAGATGAAGAATCTGAGTTTCAGAAAGCTGAAGTGACTTTCGCAAGGTCACCCATGGCGAGCACAGCCAAGCCAGCGTTTGAACCTGGCCTGAGCCTTTAACTGCTTGGTTATTGCACTCCTACTCACCCAAACTCGCTTGCTCTTCTCTGAACTTGCTCAGCTGTTGGCTGGCCTGGACCACAGCCTGGTCATTCTGCCACACTTGGCAGGCAAATGGCCTTTCATCCTCCCACTCTGAAGTGTTGACCAGGATATGACTGTCTTGGTTGAATGTGCCATCTGTGTTCTCGGTGGGGACAAGGGCCTCAAAGGTCTCGAAGCCTCTGTTCCTCTTCAGCCAGGTGATTTGTATGTCTTTGGGGTAAAATCTTTGGACATGGCAGGTGAGGATGGTTGCCTGGAGTCCTAGGACGTGGTGTGCTGAGATATTCACTGTGGGCACAACTGAAACAATAGCCCTTCATTTGCTACTTCCTTCCTTCCTTCACGCAAGGCATGCTTGAAGAGCATCCACACCTTTCTAGGCTGTGCGCTGGGTTCCTGGGATATAGCGGTGGACAAGACAGGCATGGTCCCTGCCTCATGGAGCTCCCACTCTGGTGGGGAGGACAGGGAGGAAACAAGGCAGCCACATGACCCCCACAGGGGTTCCGAGAGCCCACAACAGGGGCACCCACCCTGGTCTGGAAGAAGGAAGTTTAGGGAAGAGGTTCCACAGGAAGCGACCTTTGAGTGGAAATATGAAAGATGAACAGGAGTTAACTATATATGGCAGACAAAAAAAAAAAAAAAAAATGGTGACAGCACACCCACATACTCTTCCAGAACCTTGCCTCTCCCCATCAGAGGGGGAGTCTATTTCTGCTTCCCTGGAATCTGTGTTGACTTTGTCACTGCCTTGGTGAACAGAATGTGGCAGAGATGACACTGTGTGACATCCAAGGCTCAGTCACAAAAGTTGGTGTATCCTCCACCTAGTTATGTCTTTCTTGGGGCACAGCCTAGGAACACAGCCACCAAGCTATGAGGACGCCCACACTAGCCCACGTGAAAAGACAGTGCAGAGAAGCCCATGTTATGAAGAACTGAGGCCCCCAAGCCAACAGCCAGTGCCCATGGCCAGGCGTGTTGGCGAAGGAGTCTCCAGCGTATTCCAGCCTCTGCACCGTGCAGGTGAGGCCCGGCCATCACGCAGCAGAGACAAGCCACCCCTGCTCAGCCCCATCAGAATTCCTGACCCACAGAATTTGTGAGCATAATAATTTGGGGGATTTGGAATAAATCTGGAACATTGGAATAAGATTGGGGATAATTTGTTGCATGGCCCTGGTAACTGAAACATTAGGCAAAAGGTGTTGGGGGAGGGAAATCTTTAAATGGCTAATGGAAGAAATCAAGTCACTACAATGTTATTTTTTCATTGAATATTTTCAGAGTGATGTAACATTTGGAACACTCCAGAAGTTATATCCTGTGCAACTATTTAAGATCATGATGAAGAATTTTAAACGTCAACTTTAAAATATATGATGGACTACAAACTACTTCACAATTATTTTAGGGATATATGCACAAAAATGCTTGAAGATTGTTGTTGAACATTTCAGTAAGGATTTTTTTCCCCCAAGGGCAGTAGTGAGCTACTGTAGGGTTTTAAGCAAAGTAGGGGCATGATCCGGCTTCCTTTATAAAATCCTCTTAGCTGCTGGGAGGTTGGGGATAGATCATAGAGGGCAATGGTGGAAATGAGAGATCAATTAGGAGGCTGTTGCAGTTGTCTAGGTAAGAGGTGATGTTGGTTTGAACTTGGGTATTAACTTGAGTAGTGGCAGTGGAAAAAACATACGAGTTCAGAAGAGATTTGGGAGGGAAATTTGGTGGTTGGTTGGGTGAGAACAGGTTTCTGACCTGGGTGACTGGGTTGATGGAGGCTCCTGTGAAGGCCAGGGCAGATGGACCTCTAGAACAATGAGGGTAATTTTCCTTTGCCTTTCCTTCCATATTTCTGCAAAGTTTGATTAAACAGTGGCCTGGGCTTGCTCTGGGGATATGAATAATGGACTTTGTCTTCATGAAGTCAGAGCCAGACAGGGGTATGTGTAGCCTGCATTGGTTTCTCCCATGATGCCAGGGTGGGTTTAAGAAGCATGTGCCAAAGGTGGTGGCTGACAGCAAAGCAACGGTGGCTTGGTGGTTTGAACAATGGTGTTAGGAATCCACGTGGAGAGTCCAAGTGGGAGAAGCTTCCTTGCTGTGGCCTAGAAACCCTGTGTGATCTGGTCCCCACCCCTCTTGCTCCAGCCTCTTCCTTTTCCACCCACCCATCTTCTCACTGGCCAGCCACACTGGCCTCCTCTCTGCTCCCCGGACATGCCTTTCTCCCCCTAGCCCTCCAATCTCAGGGCCTTTGCACACTCTGTTTCCTCTGCCTGGAACACTGTACTCTTTGCCTGGCTGGCTCCTTTTCATGCCTTGACTCAAACATCACTTCTTCAAAACGGCACTTCCTGAGTAAACTAGATTTCTCTTGTTTTCATCTATCTCAGTCTGTTCTTTCCCCTCATAGCAAATGTTACAAGTCACAGACATAGAGTTGCTTTTGTCTTGGTTGACGGGGTTCCCAGGACTGTGAACTCAGCAAGGCAGAACCAGGCCGGTTCCATTTACCATAGAATCCCCAGCACCTGTAACATGCCACCACACAGCAGATGTCCCGTAAACGCCCCCTGCATGAATGAATGAGTGAATGAACTTCCTCCTCTCACACTCACTAGAGGGGAGGGAGCTCTGAAAGAGAAGGACTCAATCATGGCCTTATGTAGGAAGGGGATGGTCATATAAAATAGGGAACCTCATGCTCACACCACTGGGGGTTTTGTGGGGAGTGAATGGGAGGATGCAGGTGAAGTGTTCCCATTGGGAGCCTGTGGTGGTCGCCAGAGTTTGCCGTGTGTGTGTGTGTGTGTGTGTGTGTGTGTGTGTGTTGTGTGTGCGCATGCAGGGGGCTTACCTCGGAGGAATTGGGAGATGTTGACATGCTCTCTGAGGGGTCTCTGCAGTCCACTGTGAGCCACTTGACAGGTGACCTGGGAGTGGATTGAGGACACAGCCAGGGTCACCAGGGCAGTGCTGATGACGGTATAGGAGGAAGCATCTCTAGACAGGAAGACGAGGGTCTGAAAGTCTGGAAGCTCCACACCATTTTCAAACCATTTTACATTTATGTTTTTGGGAAAGAAGCCAGTTGACGTGCAGGTGAGGTTCAGTAGCTGGCCTGGGCTGGTCCTGCTGGAGGGGCCAGAAACCACTGGAGGAGAGGGCTTAGCTTCCATCAGGGCAAGGGTGGAGAGAGGAAGGACAGAGAAGAGAAATGAGGATGGCAAGTTACTCTCTGGCACAACACTCACCCTCATGGCTCACCCTGCTCCACTTCCCACCCCAATCTCTCATCTCTAGTTTTCTCCCTTCGTAAATTTTATCATTACTCTTCTTGTCATAACAGCCAATCAACTGGCCTCACTGATTTGACTTCTCAACCCTTTCAACCCACACTTGGAAGCCAGACCGCAGGGACCTCGCTAAAACGCAGATGAGACCATGTCATTCCCTTGTTCTCCTTCCTCCCTCACCCTCCCTCCTTCCCTTCGTCCCAAGATACATTGTTTTAAAAGTCACATAAGGCATGTCATGAAAAACAGTGGTTTCCTCTCCTTGCAAAAATTACAGACCAACTACTTTTAGCTACTTCAGCTGATTCTTTGGGCATTTCTGTGTGTTTCCAAATGACATGTTTATACTGTTATTTCTCAGTTTTTCGGTTTTATGTATTATGGATATGCCACTACAGAAGATGATGGTTTAGCTCTCTTATGTCTCCCTGCACCTGCCACCCACACTTGCCCTCCTCCCATCCTCCTGTTATGGACACATTGTAATTTTTGTTCTATGGGTATTCAGCATTTACAGTATTAGGACTAAATGGGCATTGTTCACAACTGGGCTTTGCGATATATCATGGTTATGTTTCCTTTCTTGTACAGCTTTTCGTTTTCGCAGGAGTTTTTAATGGTCTCATTATTTTCATTTGCTTTGTTTTCTATGAACTTATTGTCATAAGGGCATCCCCAAACTTTCTGCCAGATTCCTTACACTATGTTTGAAACTCCTAAGTACTGCAGTAGACTTTAATGTAGGGTGTGAAGATTTTTCAGGGAAGTATATAGGCTTGGATTAAATACACTTTTTATTATAATAAATTTGTAAACACACATACAAATAGAGAGAAAGTATTCATCGTGGGACTTTAACAATTATCAACAAATGGCTGATCTGGTTTCATTTATACTTCTCCCGCCATCCACTGGGTTATGTATTTTTATTGTATATATTTAGGTGTACAACATGATGTTTCACTATATATATATACACTTAGTGACATGATTATTGCAATGAAGCAAATTAATATATCCATTATCTCACATAGTTACTTCTTGTGTGTGGTAACAGTACCTAAAATCTACTCTTTTAGCAAATTTCCAGTATATGATACAGTATTATTAACTATAGTCCCCATGCCCTAGACTTATTCACCCTACATAATGGAGATTTTGTACCCTTGACCTCCATCTCCCCATTTCCTCCACACTCCCACCCCTGGGAGCTATTGTTCTACTCTGTTTCTATGGATTTGAGTTTTTTGTTTTTATTTTGTTTTATTACATTCCACATATAAGTAGAGAAATTAAAAATAGAACTACCATATGACCCAGAAATTCTTTTTCTAGGTAGATAGCTAAAGTATAGGAAGTCACCATCTCATACAGCTAGCCATCTGCGCCCCGATGTTCATCACAGCAGTATTCACAATAGCCCAGATATGGAAGCAACATAAATGTCTGTACATATGCAAACACACGATGGGATATTATTGGGTCTTAAAACAAGAGATCCTGCCATTTGTTGCAACATAGATGAACCTAGTAGACATTATGCTAAGTGAAATAAGCCATCCACTGGTTTATTTTAAAGTGAATACCAGACATGATATTTCATGCATAACTACTTCAGCATGTATATCTAAGAGTTAAGAATTCTTTTTTAAACAATCAAAATACCATTATCATACTTAAAATTCAATGATGATTCCTTAATATCATTTTGTATTTGTCAGCATTCAAATTTTCTTTCTTGTTTCATAAATATAATGTTGCAGCTGGTTTGTTTGAATCAGGATCCAAACAAGATCGATGTATCACATTCTGTTATGTCTCTTAAACCTCTTTTAATCTAAAGGAATTCCCCTTCCCTCCTTTTTCCTTTGCCATTTATTTGTTAAATAAACCAGGTCATTGACCCTGATGACTTTCCCAAATCCCGTAGCATTTCCATAGCTTCCCAACTAGATTAAGCTCCAGTCACCCACATGGTAGTGGGTGTGGCAACTCCTTCCTTATTGACTGACTTCACCAGTAGGGGTTACTTGCCCTCAAATCCTTGTCTCAGGGCTGGCTTCTCAGTGAACTCAAGTTCAAACTTTGTGTTTTAAAGTCCCTTAAAATAATTAATCTTTGTCTAAAGAAGCCATCAATATGTAGTTAGATTAATTGTTAATAGTTTCATTTTAGATGTAGTAATTTAGATTTATTTTGGATTTTGTTTATTAATTATTTAAAACATCCATATGTTTGCAAAGTCAAAACTTAAGTTGAGGTACCTTCAGAGAAGTCTAGCTTTCATCTCTGTCCCTTCAGCCCTCTTCCCTCCCTCCTTTAAGGTAAATTTTTAAAAATTTGAAAAATTTTAGTTTATTATTGTAGTGTTCTCCTTCACACACTGTTCTACATATTGCTTTTCCTATTTGAGGATAGCCCTTGGGTCCCTGTGAGGTGGAGTGCTGAGGTCTTCCTCATGCCATTTGCAAGTTCCATAGGACCCAGCTGTGTGACTGTGCCATAATCAGCAGCTCATCTTTTGCTCTTACAGATAGTGCTGTAATGAAGAGCCTAGGCATAAGTCATCTTGCACTTATGTTAGTAGATCTTTGGGATAAATTTCTAGAAGTGGAACTGTTGGGTCACAGAGTAATATGTATTTATATAATATGTACATGTAATATGTGTATATAATTTTGCTAGATATTGCCAAATTCATCTCCTTATGAGTTATGTAATTTTGCACTTCTACCAGTAAAATATGATGTATCTGTATCCCCATATCACCCCCAACAGAGTGTGCTGTCAAACTCTCATTCTTTTTCTTTGTTCAATCCCTATTGTGGTAAAACACAAAGGGATGTGAAAGGCAGTGTTTGGTGATCTTGCACACTCTATAGATTAGCTGGGTATACAATTTTAGATTGGAAATAATTTTCCCAAAGAATTTTGAAGCCACTATTCCTTGTCTTCTATGGTCCAATGTTGCTCTTAGGCATCTCATGCTGATCTCATTCACAATGTTTTATGTATAACTTGCTTTTTATTTTTAAGTCTTGAAAACTATACAAAATTCTCTTTGTTCCCCAAAGACTGAACATCAACTTCTTTGTCTCTCCATGGCTCAAAGGTGCTAAAATTTTAAAGTCCCCAAAACTCTGTTGATGTATATTTCTATGGTTCTGAGGTTCTGTTCTCCTACTGAATTTTTTACAAAAAAAGTCATAATCATTAAAACATCAATACACATAGGCCTGAACTAACTTCCCTGCTTCTTAGGTTTTCCTTTAATGGATGTTGTTTAGAGTCTTGCAGGCTTTGTCTTCAGCCATGATTGTATCAACCAGGACCAAACTCAAGAATATACAGGACTTATAGAAATAAAGGATAATATTTAAGAAATATCGGAATTACATATTCTACATCAAAAAATGTGATTCCTAAAATTTTCTGCCTCAGTAAATCTATCATTCATATCATATGAAAATCTATGGTTTCATGCTTTTAAGTTTGCATTTTTTAAGTTTCATTGGTTGTAAGATCCTAAATACTGATGATGCATAGTAATATAATACCCATCATGTAGCAGATACTCTTCTAAGTGTTTTACGTTGATAAATTCATTCACATTTATAATCCTCACAACGAATCTATGAGGTGGATACTATTATTATCCCTATCTTCCCTAACACATGAGGAAGTCGAGGCACAGAGAATTTAAGATACTTGTGAGGTCACACAGCATGCAAATGGCAGAGCTCGAAGTTGACCCATCTGGCCCTGGAGTCTACTTGTATCCTCTGTGCTTTGTCGGCCACTGGAAGCTGTGAGAGTCTGAAGGGTTCGGAGTCTGCCGACAGATGGCCCTGGGGTTATATTTCACTCTGTTCCTTCACTGTGACCTTTCGCTATTGCCATTTACTCTCCTCAATCTTGGCACAAGGGCTAACAAAGGGAGACCCTTGGACTGAGCTCCTGGGGGCTACAATTTGTATTAGAACAATGGGCTGGATTTCTAGGGACCTGGACTTACCACGCACAAATAACTTGGTGCCTGGTCCAGACTTAACCTCCACGTTGTTAGGAGTTCCTCTCCGGAACTTCACACAGTAGTAGGTGCCGGCGTCCTCTGAGGTGATGTTACTGATGCGGATGGAGAAGTCCGTGCTGTTTCTCTTTGTGGTATCTTCAAGAGGCGTTACCCGGGGGGAGGGGGCTTTTATACTGAAGAATCGTTCTCGGCCTGGCCCAGTCCCCCTGAACCACTCGATGGGCCCCACGGGGACCAGGGCGGTCACGGAGCAGCGCAGAATGGCTGACTCCCCGGCTGTGACCCACACTGACTTGTCAGGTTGAAGCACCTGCAGCTCCTCCTCTCCTGCCACCCCTGGAGGGAAACACAAGTCAGCTCCAAGTCCTGCCCTGGCCCAGCTGGGGCTGAGGTTGGGGTCCAGGCGCCTGGGGCCAGATTGCAGCTGAAGTCCTGTTAATTCCTTCTTTCCGCGTCATATATTAGCTTCTAGGATGGGCAAATTTCTGGACTGGGGGCTAATAGGGACATAGATATAAGACAGATGCCCCTTGGAAAGGCCTCAGATAGGGAAGTCATGAGAGAAGAAACACATCTAGAAGAGATGTTCAGAAACCCCAGCAAATCAGTGAAATGCATATTTAAACCAGAAGGAAAAATGCTAAAGTCCATGACAGAGTAGCTGGAAAAGTTAAAACAAAATGTACTCAGGTTTCAGCACATGAAACGTCAGAGCACATTTTCAGGCTGCAGTAATAGAGGTAGATTGGTCCCAAGGCAGGCAGGGAGGTCAGTGAGACAGAAGAGAGAGCCTAGAATTTGACCCAAGGAAATATGCACATTTCCTATATGATCAAGGTGGCATTTTATGTCCGTGGCAGCCAGCTATCTGGAAGAAAGCAAATAAAACTCTTAAAAAGTGGCTGATTCCAGGGAGCCAAGGGTATGGGGACTTTTGTTGTTTACTTGTACGTTTCTTCCATGTTTGGATTATTTTGACAAGAAGTCTGTAATATAATAAAAATAAAATGAAATAAAATAAAACACTTTTTCTTTTGTAATCTAAGAGCAGACAATTTCTGGAAAATTAGCTCTGCAAAAATGAAAAAGCTTGTCAATTTTCAGTGTTGCCAAGGGTGTGGCAAAGCAGGCACCCCTACATACTGCCGATAGGAATAGAAATTGACACAACCTTGCTAGATGGCGATATGGCATTATAGTGATGACCCAATATGTACAATCCATGAGCCCATGTTTTTAACAGGTGGGAAGGAAAGTCTTCAACCAAATGTATTTTGGTTACCAATGTTTCCATTGCTGCTGTTCCTGTGTTGTATGTGTGGAGATAATATATTACTAACATTGAGACACTCATATTTTATTGGAACGTTGCATTTCAAAAGTGTTTGAAATGCACTCATACCCTTTAACTTAGTAATCCTCTTCTAGGGACTTATTCAAAAGGAATGATCAGACAAGGATGAACACATTTTGTAAAGAATGGTAATCGTAGTATTCACAATATGGAAAAGGTTGATGTGAGACTCATGTCCAAGAACAGGGAGTTAGTTAGATAAATGATGGTATAACCACAAAATGGAAAACTATGTAGCTATTAAAATGATAATGTTGGAGTATATATTGGGGATGTAGTGATCAGATGTAGGCACATACGTAGCTACATGGAAGAAGGCCCCTGATTAAGTGAAAGAGCAAATAAATCTCCATATTTAGTTTAATCCTATTTTTGTTAAAAGTTCTATATATATGGAAGCAGCGTGGTGGTCAAAGCAAGGGCTAGTGGAATCCCTTTGACCTGGGTTTCAGTGCCTCCTTGATTGCTTACTTGATTGCTATGGCTTGAATATTTGTCCCCTCCAAAATTCATGTTAAAATTGAATCCCCAATGTGGCAGCACTGAGAGTTAGGGTCTTTACAAGGTGATCAAGTTATGAAGGCTCTGCCCTCATAAATGGATTAATCCATTCATGAATTAATGGATTAAAGCAGAGGCACCCAACCTTTTTGGCACCAGGGACCAGTTTCATGGAAGACAATTTTTCCGGAGTGGAGGATGGGGGGAGCGGGGCAGGGGGTAGGGGAGATCTGACAGGAGGCAGAGCTCAGGCAGTGATGCGAGTGTTGGGGAGCGGCTATAAATACAGATGAAGCTTCGCTTGCTCGCTCACCAGCAGCTCAACTCTTGCTGTGTGGCCAAGTTCCTAAGAGGCCATGGACCAGTACCGGTCCATGGCCCGGGGGCTGGGGACTGCAGGATTAATGGGTTATCACAGGAGGAGAATTTGGTGGATTTATAAGAAGAGGAAGAGAGATCTGAGCTAGCACTTTAGCATGCTCCACTCCTTCGCCCCAGGGTGATGCCTTGTGCCATCTCGAGACTCTGCAAAGAGACCCCACCAGCAAAAAGGCTCTCAGTAGATGCAATCCCTCAACCTTGGACATCTTAGCCTTCATTACTGGAAGAAATAAATTCCTTTTCTTTATAAACTACCCAGTTTCAGGTATTCTGTTATAAGCATCAGAAAATGGACTAAGACACTGATATTTCACCTTGAGAAAATTACTTAACATCTCTGAGCCTCTGTTTCCTTATCTATGCAGTATATATGGTACAGAAAGTGAGACCTCTCTTGCAGTTTTGCTGTGAGACCGAAACCTCAAAATCTTTGAGGAACACTCAGGACCATGCCTGGTGCAGAGAAGGACTTGTGCGAAATGCGCTTTCCCCTGTTGACCTGGAGTCCAGTAGGCTGAGCTCCAGCCCTGACAGGCCTGGGGATTCTGGGAGGACCACTCCCTTCGTCTGCTTTCAGTTTCTACTTCTGCCAAGCATGATAGATCATTCCCGTTTCCTATGAGTGCTATGAGTTTTAACGAAGACGCAGATTTGCCAAGGAACACACAGTGGGTGCCGTAATGGTTGGATTCAGCAGGACCATTTTTATGTGTTCATATTTACACGTACTAAACCCTGAAAGGATATAACAGCCAGAGCTGACACAGATGCTTCCATGTGCCTCACATGACTCTAAACACTTAACCATATTAACTTACTTACTTGATTTTCACCACAACCTTATTAGAAAGGTGCTATTATCCCCATTTCACAGACAAGAAAACTGGGGCACAGAGAAGTGTAGTGATTTGTCAGTCTACAAATGATGATACTTGGATTTGAACCTTGGCAGGTTGGTTTTAAAAAATATTTGTGCTTTTAGCCAATTTACTAAGTAGCCTCTCAATTGAGATGTTACTACCATTAGGAGAGGGAGGGGTGCCTCTCCTGACTGCCCAGGTCAGCTCTGGAGAGAATGGAGTGGACAGGCAGGAGACGCATCCCCATCAACAACATAATCCTAGGATGCTGGGATTCTGGGAGACTTAATCTAAAAAGCACTGTTTATGAATTTTTTTTCCCAATGGTTCTACATTGTATGCAATATTATCTATCTATCTATCTACCTACCTATATATCCATCCATACATCTCTCTATCTCCATCTTAATGAAAGCAGCCCTGCCTCCCTGCCAGGTGCTATGATCTTAAGCAGGACTGATGAGTCAGACACTACACCTCCCCTCTACTCCTTCCCTCAGGGAGGCACCAGGTCCTGAAGGCCAAGCCCAAGGGGGTCGTGGAGCCTTCATAGGATGTCAGGAGTGTGGGCAGGGTGGAGGAACTGGGAACCTCTGTCTTGGAGAAATGTCTGGGTGGGAGAGGAAAGGATCCTTCCAAGGGACAAGAATTCTGGGGGGATTTGTTTAGGAGATTCTTGTTATAAAAAAAAATAATTAGGGAAATGTCTTAAAGAGGAAGAGGCAGCAAAAAAAGAGGTCCTGGAAGAGAGATCCATCTGTCCCACTGGGAATGGGGCAATGGTACCACTGCCAAATTCAGAGAACATCCCTGAACCGTGATACCCGAGGGCGGAGGTGCTCACCTGCGAGTCCCAGCAGCAGGGGCAGCAGCAGGGATGGCGGAGGCAAGTGGGGCTGAGAGGCAGGGATGGGCATCATGGTGGGCCCTGGAGCCTGCTCTGTCTGAATGTCTGTCCTAGGGAGGCCCCAGACTGTGCTCTGTTGAGTTTTGTGTCCCACAATATTTAATATAAGAGGAAGTGATCATGATAGGAGGAGAGGGCTGTGGGATTATGGCAGTTCCTGTTTCTAAGTTGTGAAATAGGAACCAGACATGAGCTAAGAAGTTACTGATATAAAGGTCCCGAGATGCTTGAAGAGGCCCCGGCAGGCTCCCTTAGTGCCTAGGCTCTACTCCCTGGGCCCCTCACCCCACGTCAGGGTGTTCTGTGGCCCCATCCAGGAGCCTGGGGACATGGTCTGCTATCGAGGAATGTGTGTTCAGCCTTCTGTGATTGTCTAAAACCTGGGCTCGGATGAGCCTGCAGCTGGAGTCAGGAGGAGGGCTCCTGGGCACGGGGTCTCACCGGGGTAGGGCCCTGTTCTAGCTACTCCAGCAGTGTCAGTGGTAAAAATGAGCCTGAAGCCATGTCTGATGGGCCCCTGGCTTTGCCCAATATGCTTGCAGGGGGAAGTGGCTTTGGGTGAGCAAGGAGCTAGATCTTGGGAGGCAGAGGAGGGTTGCTTCTGTTTTAGAGGAAGGAGGAGGCCTGTGGGGGCTGAGGCCTTTGGGTGAGTGGTACCTGCAGAAACAGCTGGGAGGAGGAGGAGTGCCTCTTCTGTCCCTAGTCTGGGGCCATCTCTGGGGAGAAGGGAGTTGAGAGGCTGAAGAAACATCCACACCAAGAATATGCCTCCTGTTTTCCTTCTGAGCAGGTTGTGTAATCCATTCTCATTTAATGTTATTATTAATTTAGTTAAGTTTATGACTGCTATTTTACTTTTTGTTTTCTATATATTTCTTATGTCTTTTTTGTTCCTCTATTCCTCCTTTACTCATTTCTTTTGTATTAAATAAATATTTTCTAATGTAGAATTTTAATTTCTTTATTTTTTTACTTAGTTATTTCTTTAGTGGTCACTCTAGAGCTTGCTATATGCAAGAGGTATTTAAAAAGTTCATAAAAATGCATGTTATGAAAAAATTATGCACGAATTTAAAATTTTTTTGCACCAAAATAAACTCATATTAACTTTTATAACATGTCTGAAGAGGATCTATTTTGAGGCACTAACAATAGGATAAGACATCAATTTGAAAAAAGCCCTTATCAAAGCAACATGAATTCTGTTAAAATTGAAGCAAGAACAAACATCAAATTTATGGTGAAGCTTGGGTGGAAGAATGGTGAAAACATTGATGCTTTACAAAAGTTTTTAGGGACAGTGTTCCAAAGAAAGCAGCAGTTTACAAATGGATAACTTGTTTTAAGAAGGGAGAGATGATGTTGAAGGTGAAGGCTCTAGTGGTGAACCATCCACACCAATTCACAAGAAAACAAAGTAAATAAACTTGTTCATGCCCTAATTGAAGAGGACTGATGGTTAACAGCAAAAACAATAGCCAACACCATGGACATCTCAATTGGTTCATCTTACACAATCTGACTGAAAAATTAAAGTTGAGTGAACTTTCCACTTGATATATGCCAAAACTGTTGCACCCAGATCAGCTGCAGACAAAAGCAGAGTTTTCAATGGAAACTTTAAACAACTGGGATCAAGATCCTGAAACATTTCTTTAAAAATTGTAATAGGAGATGAAACATGGCCTTAGCAGTACAATCCTGAAGACAAAGCACAATCAAAATGGCTACCAAAAGGTGGAAGTGGTCTAGTCAGAGCAAAAGCAGACCAGTCAAGAGCAAAGGTCATGGCAACAGTATTTTTGGCATTCTCACGGCATTTTGTATGTTGAATTTCTGGAGGGCCAAAGAATGATAAACTCTGTTTATTATGAGAGTGTTTTGAGGATGTTAGCCAAAGGTTTAGTAGACGAATGTTTGTGGAAGCTTCACCAATGGGTCCTTCTCCACCATGACAGTGCTCCTGCTCATTCCTCTCATCACATAGGGTGAATTTGTGAGAGTTTCAGTGGGAAATCATTAGGCATCCACCTTACATTCTTGGATTGGCTTCTTCTGACTTTTTTTGATTCCTAATCTTAAAATATCTTTAAAGAACACCCATTTTTCTTCAGTTAATAATGTAAAAAGTCTGCATTGACATGGTGACATTTCCAGGACCTTCAGTTCTTTGGGGATGGACTAAATGGCTGGTATCATTGCCTTAAAAAGTGTCTTGAACTTGATGGACTTATGCTGAGAAACAAAATTTACATTTTTTTCTTTTTACCTTTTAATTATATTTTTTCATGAAATTTTTGGAGTGCCCTGATATATGTTAACTCATCAGAATCTGCTTCAGATTTACATTAACTTAATTCTAGTGAGGCATAGAAATTAATTCTATAATTCTATTTCCTCTTTCCCCCTTTTGTGGTATTATTGTTATGCATATTACATTTATAAATGTTACAAACTCAACAATATATTGTTATAATTATTACTTGATATAATTTTATGTCTCCTAAAGAATCTGAAGAGAAGAAGAATGCATATATATCTATATGTATATCTGTCTATCATCTATCTATATCTTTGGCTATATTATCTTATTATTTGTCATTGCTGGTTCTCTCCTGTTGTTCCTATAAGTTCGAGTTACAGTAGCAGCCATTTTCTTAGCCCGATACAGCTTTGTTTCTAACTACCTCTTTTGTGCTGTTTTTAGAAAATGTATTACATTTCTATGTTATATGCCCCAAAATACATTATGTACATATCATTGTATGCAATAGTCTTAAAACAATCAGTTAGGAAAAGAAAGGAAGAAGAAATATGCATTTATACTGTCATTTGTACTTACATAATTACCTTTACTGGGTATCTTTGTTTTTAGCGTGCACGTGTGTGTGTGTGTGTGTGTGTGTATGTGTGTTTGTGTGTGTTTGAATTACTGTCTGGGGTCACTTGCTTTCATTCTAAAGAACTTCCTTTAATGTTTTTTTTTTTGTAATAAGGGTCTACTAGCAACAAATCCTCTCAGCTTTCTTTGTTTTTAATCTGGAAATGTTTTTATTTTGCTTTCATTTTTGAAAGGTAGGTATAGGGGTTTTGGCTGACTGTTTTTTTTCCTTTGGGCACTTGATCCCACTGCCTTCTGCCCTCTGTGGTTTCTGTTGTGAAGTCAGCTGTTAATCTTATTGGGGCTCCCTTGTGATGAGTCATTTCTTTTGCTGCTTTTCAAGATTTTCTCCTTGTCTTTGTTTGTCAACATCTTTACTATGATGCGTCTGTGGATCTTGTGAGTTTATCTTATTTGGATTTCCTTGAGCTTCCTAGATGTGTAGATTGTTTTTCAATAAATTTGGAAAGTTTTCATCCATATTTTCTTTGAATATTTTTTCTGCTACTTTCTATTTCTCCTCTCCTTCTGCTACACCTATTACACATATTTGGCATCCTTGAGGATGGCCTACATTTCTCTGATGGTCTCTTCATTTTTTATTCTTTCATTTTCCTCTGTTCTTCAGATTGCATAATCTTTAGACAAGCCAGTCCACCTCTCTGAGACTCAACATCCTCATCTGGTAAGGGAAAGGTCTGGATCATGTGGTGGGTGGACATATTTTGTTTTTAGTCTGCTTAGCAATTGTTTAATTGGGTTGATTGGTTATCTCTCATAGCACCTCCTCTCCTTAGCAACAATGAGTAAATGAAATGTTGAGAAGATGGCATAGGAAAGGCCAATTTGAATAGTTCCCTCAGACTCATTTGCGGAGGCTGAGAGGAAGAAGCTCCCTTTCCATCTTGGTTGCTAAGATGGGGGAATGAATATTTACATTTTCTGCATTTATTTTCTCTATCATCTTCTATAATATATACAGCAGAAATGAAAGGAAGAAGGCCAGGAACAGAGGAGAGAATTTCAGAGAGTGAGAGTCTTGGTAGCACTAAGCCCTAAATTCAGCCCTTAAAGCTCTGCTTTCAATATTGTGAGGATCCCAGAATCCTATGCAGCTATAGGATCGTCATTTCATATTTTTGGTTTAAACTAATACATTGGGTCTTATCACTTGTAAGAAAATGTCTTTCACTAATACAGAGCATATTGGACCAGGTCCAGACCAACCCCACCTCTATTTTCTGCTATCTACACCCCTGAATCTCCTTGAGTCTCAATTTCCTCATCTGTACAATGAAAGCATCCTTATACTCAAGAGTTGCTGTGCAGGTAATATAGTAAAGCATGTAGAATATAGTAGATGCCCAATAAATGGTAGCATTATTATATCGCCAATTTAATAATTTCTCAGGCTGGTTATCACTCAGAGTTCATAGGGCATCATAAGAAAAAGTATGGATTTTGGAACATAAAAATTGATTTTTAGTCTGCTTAGCAATTGTTTAATTGGGTTGATTAGTTATCTCTCATAGCACCTCCTCTCCTTAGCAACAATGAGTAAATGAAATGTTGAGAAGATGACATAGGAAAGGCCAATTCCCTTCAACATTCAACATTCAACAATTCAACATTCTGCGGATGTGTGGCCCTTATCATCTGGAGTTCCTTAGGACACTGCTGCCTTTAAGCAAACTGGCTTAGCAAGGAGTTGTTTTCTCTCCCATTATTGGGAATCCAGAGGTGAGATCAGCAGGGCTGTGCAATGTTGTCAACCCTTACTCTTTACATCTTTGCACTCATCTAGAGTAGATTTTTTTCCTCAACTTGGTCCCCTCATGGTCACAAGATGTCTGTCTAAAGCACCTGGGGCAACAGGATTGTTTGTTCCTGGCCAGCAGTGGGGAGAATTGCCTCACTTTCCCAGCTTTCTCTGCAAGCCTGTCTTCTTCTCTTATAGACACAAAATGGCTAAGTAGGTCCCATATTTGAGTCAATCACTGGTAGAGGACATGGAATTATTTTAATTGGTTTAGGCTAGTCACTGGGGGTTAGTTAAATATTGGGAAGTCAGCCACAATATCCCTCATCATTGAACCTTTTTGAGTCTGTTTTCCCTCCTGTAAAATACCTTACCCAGCTTGCTGAGAGTATTAAAAAGATCAGATGTATATTGTACCTTCAATAATATTTGGCATATAGCAGGTATTCAGTGAATGGAAGACATAATTACTGAGATGATAGCATACACCAGGGGATGTAGGAGACACTCACCAATAATAGACACCTCAGTGCCCGGACCTGACTGGTATTCCTTATCAGGTTTCCCTTTTATGAACTTCATGCAATAATAGGTGCCAGCATCTGCAAGAGAAATTTCACTGATGCGGATAGAAAAGTCTGTGTTGCCAAGTTTGGTGGTGTCTCCAATCGCTTTTACTCTGGGAAAGTGACCTTGTTTGAAACTGTAGATTAATTCCCGGTTTGGCCCAGTTCCCTTGAACCACAAGACAGGTCCATTCGGGAAGGTATCTGGTACACTGCAACTCAGGGTGACTGTCTCCCCAGTCGATACCGTCTGTGACATCTCAGCTTCTTGCACCTGGAACACCTCATCAGTGGCTCCTGGAAAGAAACTGGAAATCATTTCTCATTTCCCCTGCTCTGGCTTAGGCAGGACTGAGAAGTGTGGATGCAGGTCACGGTTAGGCCTCGTTCTTTAATTATCTTAATGACATGTGCAAATGTCCCCATACTGAGCAGAAAGGCTTTTGTATGTGGAGGCAGTGTCTCCCCACAGTGCTGAGAGAGAGGGTAGTTGGTCCAGAGGAACAAATGCTTTACCTATTCAGTTCCATTTTTCACCCCCAACCAAGGTAAGAGGAGGTCAGGGAGAGAGAAGTTGGGGAATATCAGTGGGTAACGTTCACAGAGGAAGACCAGCCCCTCTACCCATCTAAATGCCTAGAATCACACAGTATGTTTGGAGCTGGGTCCAAGTCCTGTTCTCCCACCCCACACCTCCACTGAGCTTGGGGTTGGCCTTCCTGTCTCCCCTCAAGGGGGATCAGACACCGAATTTGCGGAGAAATTAGTGCTGAGAGGTGTGGAGAAGGGGAAGTCAAGAGGTGACACAACTAACAAAGGAAGTGGTCATGGCAACAGCGTATGGTTCCACTATTTATCTGTTCAAGAGAAGAGAGGGGAGACAGGGGCAGTTTCCTCAACAAAAGGAGAGTAGAGCCTCAAGGGCCCTCAGCAACACTGGCGGTCCTCACTGACCACGCTGTCTCCGCCCACCACAACCACCACCACTGCCCTACAACCTGTCGGTGCTGGTAATAATCTCTCCCCTTCAGGTTGGCAAACCTGCAAAACCACAGATCATCTAAGGAGTAGGTTAGGGAGAAAGGGAACTCTTGGCTGGTGAGCCAGGAGTGGGTGGCAGGAAAACAGCCTGTGTTGACATTATTTACCTTGGGGGAAATCTGTGGATTTTCCAGGGCCGTTTGGATGCTGTGGAATGTGTCTGGACTCAAGGGAAACATTATTGGGAAGGTCAGTTCTCCTGGAAGAATAGAGGGACACCTAATATCATTGTGTTTCATGAAATTAATTCAGAGGGTGGTGAGGAGAAGGAAACGCTGGTTATCCTCAGGGAATAAAAGAACAGTGGGGCTGAGAGTAGAAGTCTCCAGGGCAGATGTGAGAAAGCTCAAGTGTCAGGAGTGTGACTCAACCCCTCTGGGAGGGCTTTCTGCAAACAAGACCTTGGAAAGGGTAATACATGAGAGCCCTCCCTCTGGGCTCACCGTTCCCCAGAAGCAGAGCCAGGCATGGGAGGAGCCCACCTCTGCTCACTGACTTGTGTGGGGAACGTGATCTCAGGCTGGACTGCGGTGACCACTCAGGTACTTGCTCTCAGGCCCCTGTCACGTTCCAGTTGGCAATGGGAGGTGAGGGGAATTACGGAGGCATGTGGAGATTCCGCCTGCCTGAGGAGCCCTTTGTTTTGGCTCAGGAGATATTGGGTATTTGGGGGCAAACTTCACCTTTGTGGCAATTCCATCTTGAAGCCAGAAGCTAAGATGTGGCTGAAGTTCAGAGTCAGGGAAGAAGTTGTCATATTCACAATGGATATACCTGGGCCCAGGTTTGTTCTTGAAAGCTTAGTAACATCAGTCAGCCTCCTATGTCTCAGTTTTCTTATCAGTCGGATCATGAAGTGCACACATGTAGTTTCGTTTTGTATATCCAGTGTCTTTTTATTTGGGAGTGTCCTCTGTGTTACTGGGTTCTGGTGGCCATCAGAGAAAGGCATGGCCTGTCAACATAGCTTGATTCAATATTTGTCACAGGAGTACAGAATGGCTTATCAGAAGGGTCATCTGTAGAAACCCAGTCTACAGGGCTGTTGATGGATAAAGGGGTGCAGTATCCATATGTAGTAATGATTTGGTGCATGGTGAAGGTTTTTAAAGATTCATTTTCACAAACACAGGGGATAGAGTGCATCGGGTCATGGTCACCATTCACATATACCCAGGTGCCTGCACTAGACATATAAACTCCATGTCAGGATGTCCAACCCTTCATTTCACATAGTAGTAGATGCCAGCATCCTCTGTCAACATGTCATTGACGCAGATGGAATGGTGTTTGATTGGCCATTGTGTTTCGGCTACTTGGGGGAAATAGTTTCCATTGAAACTGTAGGTTAATTGTTGTTCTAGCCCAGTGTCCTTGAACCATAAGACAGGCCCTGCTGGGGACAGAACAGACATGTTGCAGGCCAGAGTTAGAAGATCCCCAACATTGACTGACCCTAAACTCTCAGGCTGGTTTAACCTGGAACTCTTCATTTGAAGTTCCTGGAAAAAAACTTGGAATCATCTCTCATGTTTCCTGTCTTGGCCCAACATGGTTTGAGGGCCTGGTTTTAGGTCAAGGTGGGGTCTCAATATATTAATGCTAACTTTATTTTGGCATCATGTAACGGCACCAATCATATAAAAATGTCAATGTTGGGTGCCATGCAGGATGAAGGGAAGGGGACCAGCGCACAGAGAGCTGAATGGCACCTCCCTCTGCATCAGGATATGAGGGCCTAGAATATATTAGGCACCAAATAAACACATTTTAAATGACTGGATGAATACTGTTTTTCAAAGTGAAAAATGCAAAATAGAATATGAGTCAGATTTTTCCAATTGTCTCAGAATTACAGATACGGCCCCAAGCTAAGGACAATGTGTTGATAACCGGCGTACTAGTTCAGAGTGACCCGCATGTCACTGCGCCCTCTCATAACAGACCTTCTGTCATGTAGAAGCCCACTCGTCCACCTCTCCCAAAAGAAACGTTGAGGCATGCGTTCTCAATGAAGTTGATGTTTTCCCCAAGGACCTGAAGAAAGGGGCAGCAGAGAACTGACCGAGCCAAGAGCGGGTACAGCGAGGCTGCTTGCCTGTTGGGCTCTAACAGGACTCACGAATGATCTGTGGTGTGCAGAGCAGGGAAGGTGGCTGGATTTGACATGTTCCTGGGGATGTGCAGCTGTCCTGAGGGATCTCTCAATCCTCACTGTATTTTCTTAAGTTAAATCAGAAGGAGGGTAAGAGAGAGGTTTGGCTCAGAGACCAAGAGTGAGCAGACTAGTTAGGCTTCGAGATCTGAGCTCAGACGGGGGGGATGTGGGGTTGCTCAGCTCCCTTTGGGTGGATTCTAACAAGCAAGGCCATGAGGGGGGCGCTGATTTTTCGTCTGAAATCCCCCAAAGCAGCTGAAGGCCATGGTTGGAGACCACGCCCACTCATTGACTTCCAGCGTGGGGACTGTGATCCTGGAGTAGATTGTGTGGCTACTCAGGTCCCTGCTTGCAGGACCAGTCACCAGCCAGCCCACAATGGGAGGTTAGAGACTGTGCAGGCCTGGAGAGGCTCAGGAGGCAGAACCATGTGCCCTTTGTTGAGGAGATAAATGGCATCTGGGAACTAACCTTACCCACACGGAGATTCAATTCCTGTTTGGGCAGAAGCTGCAGGAATCAGCAAGAGGAAGTTATGTTGATGGTAGACACTATAGACATGCTTACCCTTGTCATTCCTGGAGGCAGAGCACCTGCATGAGGGGTGACTGGGGCAGGGACCCTTAGAGTGATGCACTTGTCAGGGGGTGTGGCCAGGCGTGGCGTGTGAGAGGGAAGAGACGCCTCCAAGCAAATCTCAGCCATGAAGTTCATTTCCTTCTTTCCTTGTTACTTAGGATAAAAACTATTGAAATCAGTGTGCCCTAAACTAAGAGATACTTTCTCCAAATCAACAGAAAAGTGGTAAATAATAATAAAACTTTCGTCATTTATTTATAAAATACCAGTTAAGCCCTGTAATGAGACTAATATCCATCGTTTGGACCATTATCCTTTCCAAGCAGCCACATTCCTTCCCTGTCCACACACCGAAGATAGAAAATTTCTAAAGTGAAAAGTGGGTTTTGGAATTTAGCGGTACATGAAATTATATATAAAAATATATTTTCATGTTTAACAATATTTCTCCAACAAATGACATACTCAAAGGAGAATTTTCTATTTGTAGAATTTTAAAGATATTTTCTCCCTTTTATACACACACAGATGCATATTTGTATCTAATATTTAATTTATTTACAGTCTTCCTTCAGGCTTACCATTTTTCTATAATTAGCACAAAATAAGAAAAACTCAGGTTTTAATTTGTGTTAAAGATCTTTGCTTAATTTGACAATTTTTAAAAAATTTACACCATGGACGTTTGATATTTTCTGGAAAGGAAAAGGAAAAAAATGAATACTAAATCCACTGATTCCCTCCCTCCCGTTTCTTCTGAAAGTCTGTGAAATAATTGACAGGTTATGAGGACCTGAGAGAGCCCAAGATCCAGAAAAAATGTTTAAAATTATAATTTACTTGTTACTATTGGTTTGTCCTAAGAGTAACTTAAAGAATAAAAGCTTCTAGGAGCTGCAGGAGAGAAAGCAATGCTGTGACCAAGGTTGTAAAATTTGATGTAGCAAGGTAGGCATAGGAATTCTGGCTTTGATTCAGGTATAAATAGGGCTTTTTCCCTCTCTGGTTGGTCTTTAAGGGCATTATGTAGCTTAGGTACAGTGATTTCAAAGTAAACTGAGAATTCCCAAAATGATGTTTTATATACTTCTCCACTTTAAGCAAGTTATGGACAATTGCAAGCCAATGCATCAGTTTCAGTATGTCAGTTATATTAAACCACCTCTTTTAATTATGATGCATTTAAAACACGCATCTGTCCTTTTAAGCTGACTTTTCTTTGACCTAGTTTAAATCAATGAGATGGTAGACTAGGCAATCACTAAAGCCTTTGTTAAGCTTGGTAGCAAACAGAAAGGGTAACATTTAGAATGGGGATTTTCATTCATAAAACCAAGATAAAATTTGTATTTTTAAAATGGGAAACTTCTATAAATTCTTTGTGAACACTTATTGGGTATATACAAGTTTATCCAAGTATTATCCCGAAAGCCGCCAGCATGGCTGGGTATACTCAATCATCCCTCTGAGATGTGCCCATCTGTTTGCCTGTTATCAATGGCTTAAGTTTCCTCCTTTTACTTATGTTTTAATAGAAATAA